CCTCTGCACATGTTGTTCCCTCTATAAAGGCTGTTCCTTCTACACATGCTGTTCCCTCTCCACATGCTGTTCCCTTTGCACATGCTGTTCCCTCTGCACATGCTGTTCCCTCTGCACATGTTGTTCCCTCTGCACATGCTGTTCCTTCTACACACGCTGTTCCATCTCCACATGCTGTTCCCTCTGCACATGCTGTTCCCTCTACACATGCTGCTCCCTCTATACATGTTCCTTCTGCTCATGCTGTTCCCTCTGCCCGTGCTGTTCCCAGCCCAGGGATGGGTCCTCAGACCACTTTCATTCTCTGCTCACATCCCTTCTGAGTAGCCTCATCCACTCTAGGTGTTTAGAATATCATTCACGCCCCAATGACACCCACAGTCCAGTCTCCAGCCCAGGTCTCCCCCAGTTCCAGACCATTGTCCAGCAGCCCCTCAACATCCCCACTCAGTGACTCACTCAACATGGTGTCATTTGCCCCTCCTCCCTCCTGAGTGCCTCATCCCCTCAGTTACTATAATGTTGTCATTGATTTGAACCTTCCTCCCACCTTGTTCTTCAAACCAGCGTGTCTGGGCATCTCCTAGCCTTTGCAGCTTCAGTAAAAATTTTAAGATCAGTTTATAAATTCCAAAAACAAACAACACATACAACAGAAACCCGTTGGGGTTCTCATTGGAATTGTGCTCAGTTTATAGATCAAACGGGGGAGAACCAATGGCTTATCTCCCCTATTCTCCTACACCTGCTCCTCTCACATCCTCCCCATCTCAGCTGATGGCAGCTGTCCGCCCAAGTGCTCAGGCTGGACCTGGGAGTCATGCCTAACGCCCCTCCTCTGTCACCTTCACATTCAGTCCTAGCAAGTCCCGTCATCTCTGCCTTCTAATCTAGTCCACAGCTGCCCACCTATCGCCTCCTCTGCCTCCTCCTGGTCCAGCCCCTCACCACCCACCTGGACCAGTGCAGTCACTCCTGGACCCTGACTCCACCCTTGGACCCTGACTCCACCCTTGCCCCTAATGCCTGTTCTCCCTGTGGCAGCCAGAGGGCGCCTGTGAGCACTGAGTCAGGGCCGTCTCTCTCTGGTTCACAGTCCTCTAGGGCTCCCCCACCTCCTCTCCTCCGGTAAAAGCCCAAATCCTCCTCACAACTCACAGGGCCCTGCACCACCTGCCCTACCTCCACCTCCTCTCTCCCCCTCGCTCCATACAGACCTTTGCACAGGCTGTTCCTCTGTCTGGACCTCTCTTCTCCTAGATCTCCCCATGGCTGGCTCCTGCTCAGCCTCCAAGTCGCTGCTCAGATGCCACCTCCTCCAGGAAGCCCTCCTGACTTCTGCTGCACTGTCAATTTCTATTGCCTCCCTGCCCTCCACTCCTCCTCTCTCCCCCTCACTCACTGCTCGCTCCACTCCGGGCCTCCTCACTGTTCCTCTTCTCAGGTCTCTGCTGAAACGCCACCTCTTCAGACAGACCCTCCCTGACTTACCCCAGATACCAGCAGCCCCCACCCCCACTCACTCTCTCAGAGCCCTGGCTTTGCTCTGCTCTGTGGGGTCCGCAGACCAGCAGCACCAGCGTCACTTGGGAGCTGTCAGAAACGCAGAGTCCCAGGCCTCACCCAGCCCTGCATTTTCAGCAAGATCTTGCAGGGGTCACGTGCACAATAAAGGCCGAGAACCGTGTGTGTGAACTGCTGGATGGAAAGTGCATTTGTTCTGTAAACTTTCACCCAAATCACAATTTTAAAAATAATAATAATAATAATAAAATAAAGTCCGAGAAGCTCGTCTTGGTGCCCCAAGCATTGCTGTCAAGTTGGTTCCGACTCCTGGCACCGCCTGTGGTACAGAGACCTGCTCTCTAGGGTTTCCTTGGCTGCCATCTTTATGGAAGCTGATTGCCAGGCCTTTCTTCTGCAGCACCACTGGGTGGGTTCAAACTGCCAACGTCTAGGTCTGTAGTTGATGCAAATCATTGCACCCCCTGGAACCCTCCTTTAATGCACCAAACAAGAAAAACCAAAGTCACTGCCACCGAGACACTTCTGACTCAGAGACCTTCTTTGGGTTTCCCAGGCGGCAAATCTTTATGGAAGTAGATTGGCCCATCTTCCTTCCGCAGAGTGGTTGGTGGGTTTGAACCGGCAAACTTCTGGTTAGTAGTCAAATAAATGCCTTAGGTACTGTGTCCCAGAGCTCCTTTTAATGCACCAGTGG